AATTCTCGACAATTTTGCACGGTCACATTCTACCTCTAAGACCATGTACATTGCATGCTCAATTTACGTGTTCTTTTAAAAAGGAAAGTAAAGTTCTAAAAAGATGTAACATTGGAGTATTTTTAAAAAGAGAGCCGAGCTCATGAGTACAAAGAAATGAGCTTTCTTTCTTTCTTCTTTTTTTTTTTTTCCCATTTTTGGGCAAAAACGATGCTGTTATTGCCTTAAAGGGGCAAAAAAATTTACTCTGGTTTGCAACGCTTAACATAATGTTAGGTAGTGCAGACCCAACTGTCCAGCCATTGGATATAACAATCCAACAACTTGCATTTATTTTTAGAGAAAAATATTCTTTTCAAAGAAAAAAATTCTTTCCAAATTTTTTATTTGAAATGTTTAAGTATAAATAAAATAAAATAATATTGATATTATTTTTAAAAAATTTAAATTTAAAATTTTTAATTTAAAATATTAAATTCTTATTTACTTAAAACACACATTCAACGGTTGCCTCATTTAAAATGTGATTATACCTATAACAATATATATTAAATGGAAGAAAGAGATGAGAGGTAGAGAGAGAGAGAGAACTCTGGGACGGAGAGCACAGGGAAGACGGACAGCACAGCCAAATGAGAGGTTCAGATTTCACAATGGGGGACGAAACCAACAGGAGGTGGGAGGTTATGACAAGAGGGTCTACAATCAGGCAACTCCCTTCTTCTTCACAAACTTTCCAGAGGAATGGTCATTTGAGCAGATGTGGCTCACTTTCAACAGAATAGGCCAAGGAAGGGTGCTGGAGATCGACTGTCCGGCGAAGAGAGACAGGATGGGAAGACGTTTTGGTTTTGTTAGGTTTCTAGATGTGAGGAATGAAGGTGAACTAGAAAGAAGATTAAATGAAGTAAGAGTAGGAAACCAGGTCCTACAAGCTAACAAACCAAGATACACGAAGTGGGATCGTCAAAATAATCTGTTTCCTAGAACCCATTTTGAGGATGGTTACTGGAGACAACAAAGCATCAATGGTAATGATAGAAAACCATCATACACTGAGGTAGTAAAAACAGTCACCAGTAGGAGGGAGGAAAGACCCATAGATGAAAGAAGGAAAGTAGGATTAGCTCAGAGATATGGAAGCAACAATGGCAGCGTCTACGGAAACCAGCAAAAGGAATGGAAGCCAAAACACCAACACCATCATTGGTCAGGTATGGAGTTGAACTTCGATCTAGAAGAATATG